CAGGAAATGAAGCGCGCTAAAGTGTCCCAAGCACTGTTCGCAAAGGTTGCGGCCACGAAAAGCCAGGTAAGAGCCTTCATTAGGCATTGAGAATGTTTATCTGCGATTCCTATGGAGTTTTCATTAAAAGAGCATCTATTTTCAACATGAGCCTGCATCGCCGTGAAGTCCCAATCTCCAGAATAATTTACAAAGCTGAGATGAACCAGTGTTCAGATTTAGGTGAGAGACACTTGCTTTTATCTCCTCTGACAGTCACGCCCTAGACCAAGGATTTCCCAGTAAATCCTTAAGCCAATTAAGAGGTGTTTGCAGAAGGAGACTGTAATGTATAAAAAAGTGCCCAGCCTGGTTTATCGCAGTCGAGTAAGTTGAATTACTGTCGGTTCCATTATTACTCAGATGACCTCTCCTGAAATACTACAGAAACAGTATACAGTTTTTCATTTTCACTTGGCTATCTGAAACGCACATATACTTATTAAAACCCACTGATACTTAACACACCTTGTGTAGTAATGATTTTAGGTTTTCTATAGATGTATACAAGATACACAGATTGAATTACGATTAGAAAACTTGTCCAACTCTGATACATTACAACTGAATAGACTTGAATTAGAAAAGGTGCAGATCTTTATCAAACAAGATAAAAAACAAAGGTGAGGTGCTACAGTCTTTTATCACTATAACTAAGATAGTCTTCTATCGGTATAACTTTTATCAGTAAATTGATAATTATGTTCAAGATAGAACCTTCTATATGAACAAACTCAAAATTATTTATAAACCCTTGTCCAAAGCCAAGAGTACTTTTTTTAAAGGACCAAAATGCAAACAAGGTCCCCAGAGGATATTTTAACAACTTGAAATTTTATACAAGTATATTTTCATGATTATTATTAGTAATGGACCCTCTTTAATAAAACAGCCTGGCCTATTGTCAACTTTCGGGTGAAATACAGTCCTGGAAGTGTTTGCAGTAGGACACATTTATAATACTTTTTTAGTTTTTCTTAAAATTGTACTTTTATCAGCATTAATAGTGGTACTTGATGGGAATGTTGCTTTAGAAAAAATGTTCTCGTTTAAGTTATAGGCTGGGTGAAGTACTTAAGGGATATCTTGGAAATGTTATATAAAAATGATTAAACTCAAGCTGTGGACTGTAAAAATTATAGCTTTATAGGCCACATGCCTGCCTACCCTTCAATCACTGTCAAAGTGATAATTTCTACAATAATATGTTTCTTTTATTGTGAGATTCTAAACATCAAGTGCTGTTTAAACATTAAACTGAATTGTTTATGTTAGTGCTGTACTCAGCGTGTCATACATCAGGCCACCGTAATCTCTCATGGAATGTAAAATTCTGTCATGAATCATGGCTTGTATATTGGAAATTACTGTAATTTTGATTGGAAATTACAGGGCTCTTGAAATGTTTCTAATTATGATAGAATGTTAGAGCTGCTGCAAACCTGTGTGCTTCTTCAGATGTCTTCATTTACATGCCAAGACTCTGCATTAAGGAGGAATGTCCCGTTCTTACTTTACCCCACCACCCGCCCTGCACGGTTCTTGTTTTGGCTATTTAGTCTTAATGATGATGAGCATTTCTATTTAAATATAGATTATCTTTATTATCTTGCTTTTCTTTCTGATTTTACCTCTTTTTTTTTTTTTTCCCCCTGACCTGTTCAATTACCAAGAATAACAGAGCATCTTCCTATAAGGGAAACGCATGCAAAAGTTTTCCCCAAATCTCTAGCAAGGAGGGACTAGACATTTATTATTGTAGTAAGGGTCAGCCTCAAAACGACACACACCAATGAATAGGAAAACTTGTCAATAGCGGGCATTTAGTTGCCTGTCAGTTTCCACTTACTTCAGCTAGCCTGCCTCTCCAGTTTTCTGCCTGACTCTATCACGCTGTCGGTGGTAACATCGCTTTGCTCCCTTGGACTTCATTCTGCGTCCCTGGACAGTGTGGGAACTCTCCCGAAGGCAGCAGCAGTTGGCCAGTGACACGCGAGTGATGCTCCGGGGCGTTTCTAAATATCCTTCCTCTGTGCCCTGTCCTGTACAGCACCCCACGAGTCTGTTTCAACAGTGGGCAAACAGCTTCTAAGCGTCTGCCAGGGTGATGTCTCTTCAAACTCCCACCACGTTTAGTTCATCTCGTTACTATCTGAGAAAGAACCCCAGGGGTCGGTCAGTCATGGCCTAAGGGTTCGAGCGAACTGAACCTTCTTCCCTTGGACAGTTACTCTGAACTTCCTTACTCTAGCTTCCTAGTGGAGCATTTCTGTCATTTTCTTGTAGCTGTTAGCACTGCCCCCTTTCTGAAAATACATACAAAGATCCAGAATTACTTAAAAAGACGACTGTTTGAAATTATTACATGTAACAGAGGAAATCTTACTGAAAAGGTGGTCATGGGACCAACAGATGGCACAATGTTTATGTCACTGGACTCCCATGTAGTCGACCACAGTTCGAGTCCCAGGCCCAGTGGCTTCAACTCACACCGGGTGCGTGTACGTGCGTGCCCAAAATCCTGAGAGGAAATGGAGGAGAAGGGATTGCCGTGTGGCCGTCCCCCTCCGGGTTGTGGGGTGATTTCTCCCTTTCTGTCTGTCTCTTTGAGAAGTACACATACCCTATAACAAAAACCCTCTTTTTTCTAAAAAAAAAAAAAAAAAAAAAGTTCTTTAACTTTATTTGACTAGAGTGAGACAAAGAGAAAGGGAAAGTGAGAAAGCAACCCACCAGGTCTGAGACTTGAACTGCGGTCAGCCACGCGGGATTCCAGCGTCACAACCACCATGCCTCTTTCTGGCCCTCCAAAAAACTCTCTTTAAATAAAAAAAGAAGTAAAAGAGGAAGAAGTGGCCATTTCCTTTGGTTCTGTTCTGCCCTGGTGCTTGAAGGAGACAGAAGAATTAATAAATCTTCCCATCAGCACGACCCTTTTCACGGTCCTGATTCGGAAGTGTTCCTTACACCTCGGGGCTGGACGCTGAGGCAGCAGTCCCCCAGGAGGACATGGTGTGTGTGAGGTGGGGGGCCAGACCTCGACCTCGGTCTGCCTGTGTCTCACCTGGCTGTCTGGGCAGGCTCAGCGCCCGTCCCCTTGTTTACAGGAGCCCTTTTCATTCAGGAACTGGGAGCTCGCCATGGCGTCCCTCGCCCTGCACAGGAGCCCCGCTTTCTGTGGTCGAGCTCCAGACTGCCCTTCTCTCTTCCTGTCTCAGTGTCTCCTCAGAGTGCAGGGCAGCCTCCGTAATCAGGTTAGACCCTGCTCCGGGAAGCAGGAATCCGGGACACTGGACCGTTGATACTAGAAGCAGCGAGGGCTTCCTTTCTTCATTTTCATCGTGTTCCTGGAGCACAGGCGTTTCCCAGCCCCGGGCCCTCCAAACTCAGGCCTTTCCTTGCCCGACCGAGGTGGGATTCGGAGTGGAGGCGACGCATGTCACTACTGCTTTAATCCTGGCCAATGATTTAACCTTCCTCAACTGAGATGATTTCAACTGGGAAGGGGGACCCATGCTACCCTGTGTGCAGAGAAGCTTTAAAATTATGCAGCACCATGCACAAATGCATACCGTCTCGTAATGTGCTCAGCAGAAGCGTCAGTACTCCACTCGGGTAAGGGATGAGGGCGCTTTATTTACCACGTATTTACATCTCTCGGGTACCTTTCCGTTTGAAAGGGAGAGTGTGCTCTGCAGTGACTGATGCATCGCGTGTTCGCAGTAACAGACACCAGCTCTGTGCATCCCCGTTCTACGTGTGTATGTAGTCCATTAGCTCTTCTCTTGGGACCAGCAGTTGGCATCATGGCTATGTCACTGGACTCCCATGTAGTGGAGGTGGTTCAAGTCCCAGACCCGGTGACTTAAATCCACGCCGGGCGCATGTGTGTGTGTGCCCAAGATCCCCAGAGGAGAATGGAGGAGAAGGGATTGCGGCGTGGCCATCCTCCCAAGGGGTGATTTCTCGCTTTCTGTCTCTCTGTCTCTCTCTCTGTCTTTCTGGAGAGTGCACGTGCCCTATAGCAAAAACCTCTCAGAAAAAAAAAAAAGATTAGCTCTTCCCATCAATGAATAATAGACGTGAGATCATTTTTTACTCTGATAGAAACGTCTGAATAAAATATGCAAGTAAAACCTGAAGGTAGGCTCCTTTTTGTGCTTGGTTAGGAAAGTCGGCTAATGCAAACTTTAAAAAGATGATATGCTTTAAACATAATGTGAATAGCTACAAATGAATACACTTTATATTCTGGGTATTCAAATAAGCAGCAGTTTTTCCAAGTGAATCATATTGGAATTTTATCAAACATTTCATCTGATAACATTCAAATAATTATGAGAGCAGGATTTGCTAATTTTACTGTTTAAAAAAAAATAGTTGATTTGGGTAATAACCATTACAGTATCAAGGTTCAGTTACTGTTCATTGGTTCTAGTGTTTTCATATGGGAGATGGAAATGGAATTTCTCCCTTAATGGTGGCAGATGTTGGAATCTAATTTTATTCCACGGTAAGCCTCTCGAGAGCGCTGAGACTTAAGGTGTGTGTCCAGCAAGGGGACGTTCGGAGCCATCGGCCTTGCCGCGTGCATGGGGCCGTTACACTGATCTCCATGTTTGCAGAAGCGGAGCTCGCAGACACGGTGCGGGAAGACCGGAAGGGGCTTTTCCGGAGCTGCACTGCGTCACCCCTGTGTTTAGAAAACCATTTCTCTGCTGCTGTGTTGAAACAGGGTGTTGCTTTTAAGTAAAGCAGCTAGACGATGAAAATTCTACGTGGCTGATCATCCCTTCGGTAAAGTCTTTTCAGGCTCTAGGAGTTACAGTACTCTTTGGCCACTGTAACTTTAGTAATTGACGGTCTGTTTTTTAACACTTAATAAGATTTCTGACTCTGAAAAAAATAACATTAGGAGGAGGTGAGATCAAGTAACGGAGGGCGCTTCTCCCTCCATGTTTCATACACTTCTGTCACTGGGAGTCAGGGCCAGTGAGGGGGGCGGTAGAGAGAGAAGAAGAACACCC